AATTTTTATCTCAGGTCTCCTTCTGGGAGGTGCTGCTGACTCTAGGGACGTGTTCTCACTTGAGGAAGCCATCCAGGTCCCATCATAACTTGATGGCTCCGGTTTAGGAAGGAGCCTTGGTTGCTGTCATGGGATCATCACTCCCACTTAGTGTGGCACTGTCATCATGGATGTGCCTATAAGACTCTGTTCTTGGAACCTCGAAAATATCTTTTTAAATTTTTTTATTCATTAAGCTTATTGGTATGTTTTAGGTATACATTATGATTGCATTCATCATTGGGAATTTGTACCTATACATGATACATCTTCATTTTTGTTTTTTCCCATTCCCCTTCCTTCCCTTCCACCCTCCACCTCTCGCTATTTACAAAAGCTTTACTTCTGTTTTTTTCTTCTTTTCTCATTTTTTTTCCTCCCCCCCTTCCATTCCCCTTTGAACCTTCCTGTTTCACGGTATCCATTATGCATTTTGATCCTCATTTATACTTTCAGTTTCTCACACCAGAGAAAAAATTCTGTGTTTACACGTGTGTCCTATTTATTTCACTTATGCATATAGTCTCAAGGTCTATCTATTTAGCTATAAATGTTTCTAGTTTATCATTCTTTATGGCTGAGTAGATACTCCATTTTATTTAAAAAGAAACCCATCTTCTTTATCCAGTCACTAGTTGATGGGCATTTGGGCTGTTTCCAAGATGTAGCTATTAAAACTTGGCTGCTATAAATATGGGCATGTTTCTATTGCTTTGGTATGCTTTTAATTCTTTTTTTTTTTCTCCATTAAGTTTATCGGTATATTTAAATAAACAGTACTATTACATTTATCATTGGGATCTTGTACCTTTATATGATATATCTTCGTTCTTGTTTTTTCCCCGTATCCCTGCCCTCCCTTCTCCCCCTTCACCCTTCCCTATTTACAAAGGATACTTTTAATTCTTTTGGAAGGATACCCAGCAGGGAAATAGCTGGGTCAAATAAAACCTCTAATCCTAGTTTTTTGAGGAATCTTCATATTGATTTCCACAGTGGTTGCACCAGTCTGCACTCCTGCCAACATGAAGAAGGGTTCATTTTTCCCCTACAACCCTGCCAGCATTTGCTATGGTTGATTTTTTGCTAGCAGCCACTCTTTCTAGAGTGGAGTGGAATCTCATTGTTGTTTTCATCTGCGTTCCTCGAATGACTAATGATGCTGAACAATTTTGCATATGTTTATATGCTGCTTCTACTTTTTTGAGAAATGTTTGTTCATTTCAGATGCCCATTTTTGGATTGGGTCTTTAAATTTGGGGTTCTGATTTTTTTAAGTTCTTTATATATTCTAGATAGTGGATCTTTGTCTGAAGAACAGCTGGTAATTTTTTTTCCCATATTGTAGGTTGTGGCTCCACTTTGTTGGTGGTTTCTCTTGATGTGCAGAAGCTTTTTAATAAGATGAGATCCCAGTTGTTGATTCTTTGTGCTAGTTCTCCATACAACTGAGGTTTTGTTCATGAAGTCTTTTCCTATGCCAATGTCTTCAAGAGTTCTACCTAACCTATCTTCCAGCAGGTTTAATATTTCTGTTTTAATATTTAGATCTTTTATAGTTTAGTGCATGGTGAAAGATATGACCCTAGTTTTAATCTTTGGCAAATTGAAACCCAGTTTTTCTAGCACCATTTATTAAAGAGGCTGTCTTTTCTCCAGTGAGAGTGTTTGGTCCTTTTGTCAAAGATGAGGTGTCTGAGTATGTTTGGAGTTGTTTCTGCATCAAAGATGAGGTGTCTGAGTATGTTTGGAGTTGTTTCTGCATCTTCTAATCTGTTCCACTGATCCTTGGGTTTGTTTCTTCACCAGTACCATGCTATTTTTATCACTGTGGCTTTGTAGTATAGTTTCAAGTTGGGGATTGTGATACCTGCTTTGTCTTTGTTACCTAGAATTGCTTTTGTTATTCTAGGTCTCTTCTTGTTCCAAATGAATTTTTGGACTTTTTTGCTCAAGGTCTGTGAAATAAGATGGAATTTCAATCAGGATTGCATTGAATCTATTGTAGCAGTTTTGGAAGTGTAGCCTTTTCACTATATTGGGAACCTTGAAAATATCTTAGCTGTTTTCATCTTGGTGCCTTCAGACTCTGAGAGAGATGAGAGAGGTTAGGTAAATTTAGGGCTACTCATCCTTGTCTGAGTTTTTAGACAGAAGCTCCTTAAGTGATTAACCTGTGTACATGAAGAACTGAGCAGAAAACTGACCAGAGTGTAAGTAGTAAAGGCAGAGATGCTAAGCTTTTATTTTTAAATTGCCTATTAGGCATTCATAGGCCCAACTAAAAAGCTAATGGTTTTAGCATAAATAGCCTCTGAATCCCTATTGTAAGACCTGATTCTATATGTGAGTGGTCAGATAGGTGAAGTTGAGGCAGTTACAAATTGTTGGACAAGGAAGGATGACCACAGAGTGTGTTTTGGGGGTTTGAGGAGGTGAGGAATGATGAAATAAGACTGCAAACAAAATTTTAAAATATACTGAAGAAATATAGTGCAAGGAAAGATGAGTGGTTCTGCTAAAGGAAATTAGAAAACTAACTTTCAAATGTATTAGTTGCTGAGAATGTCTTAGAATAGGAAAACAGAAAAACTTGAAACTTTTGGTTAAAAGTATATTACAAAAATTTTTTTTACTGGGGATTGAACTCAGAACCTTGAACGTGAAAGGCAGGTGTGGTGCCACTGAGCTAAATCCCCAGCCCAAAGGTATATTACACATTTTTATCATGCCAAGAATAAACCTATACCAAGATGATTGCAAAGAAATTGCAAAACAGAAAAATTCAAACTGTAGGTAGAATTTTGAGAGTGAGGACAAAATATTTTTTCAAAGTTATAGCTTAACCCACAGTCACTCACTGGAAGATACACTAAAAGGTATATTTAAGCAGGAAGAAATGAATCTAGCAGGGAGGCCAGAACAGTGATGAGTACAGAATGATGCCTTTTTGGGAAATTTAATCTTCAATGGAAAGAATTTATTTTAATTGACTTTATCTTTTTAAGAAACCAATTATTAGTGCATCCATCTGTTCTGTTGTCTTTCTAATCCTTATTTCATTTATTTCTGCTCTGGTCTTTATTATTTTATTCCTTCTAAACCTGGGCTTCATTTGTTCTTTTTCTAGTTCTTTTATTTGTAATAGTAGGTTGTTTGACATCTTTCTTCTTTTTTGATGTGTTTATTATCATAAACTTTGCTCAGAATTGCTTTTGCTATTGACTTTCTACAATTAAAGAGTGCAATAAATTACAAGACATATTTTTAAAGTTGCATATTTTAAAATTCTTTAAAGTTTTACATATTCATTTGGAGATGAACTTCAAAAATCTTGCAGTTTTATAGAACTGCTTTTGCTATATTTAATTGACTTTTTACAATTAAAGAGAATATAAGTTACAGGACATATTTAAAAATTATGTATTTTAAAATTCTTTAAAGTTTTGCATACTAACTTGGAGGTGAACTTCAAAAACTTGTAGTTTTGGGCTGGAGATTTAGCTCAGTGCCACCTTACCAGCCTTGCAAGCACAAGGTCCTGAGTTCGATCCTCAGTACTTGGTGGGGGGCACAAACTTACAGTTTTGTGTCTGAACCAACAGTTGCTGGGTTTTTATTTGTTTTATTTTCCATACTGGAAGTTTCATATAGTATTATTTGAATAAGTATTAATTTAATATTTTTATAATAAAGTCTCTGTAGAGGAATATAGAACAAAGTTTCAAGTTCTATCTTTCATTTACAAATAAGATGTCTGGTGGTAGACAGGTGATCTTGACATTGACTCAGTTACCTAAGCATGCCAGGTGTGTTGTTTTCTTGGCCTTTCCTTGATGCTTCATGATTTTTTTGTTGTTGTTGTTGGTGTTTTGAGACAGGTCTCGTTATGTAGTTCAGGCTGTCCTTCAACTCACTTATGTAGCTCAGGCTGGTCTTGAGTTCCTGGCGATCTTCCTGTCTCAGCCTTCTGAGTGCTGGGATTACAGTCGTACATCACCACTGCTCCTTGGTTTTGAAGTAACTGTCCTATCCTAAATTCATATTTAGATTCAGGCAGAAAGAGGAGGAAATGAGAAAAGCAACAAAAACATGCCAATTAGCTTAGTCTCCTTGTAAAGATGGTCCCCAAAGAATCACTCTGTAACTTTCACTTAAATCTCATTTGCTAAAACTGGTTCACCTTGCTATCCACCTGAGGGTAAAGTACAGTGTTTTGTTGGGTACTTAGCTGTTTTTAAGAGAACTGTGCTCTGTATCAAGGAAGAAGGAGAAAATACAATGGCTAGGTAGTTAGCAATCTCGCCAAAAATATCCATTGTAGGGGCCGGAGATTTAGCTCAGTGGTTCGGTGGCCTGCCTTGCAAGCATAAGGACCCGAGTTCAATCCCTGGTACAAAAAAAAAAAAAAATCTATCGTATTTTTAATTTTTTCCTTAGTAGTATAATTTCTCATATACTTTCAGCCTGCTAAATTATTGAACATACACTATACCTTTCAACTCTTCAGCACAGTTCCCTCTCTTGGAATGGCCTTCCTTTTCTATTCATTTAAATCGAATCCATTTTTCAAGATAAGTTTTAAATTCAACCTTCTTTGATAAACCTTACTAGAGTACTCCAGCTTGAAATATTATTTTTCCCCTTAGACACTACTAAGCAATTGTCAGAGTAATTCATTTGTTAAGTAATCATGTTTCTTCATGAGATTTCTTATTCTGTTGCCTGTAATAGGGTTTAATGTTTGTTTATTTATATTATGATTGCTCAGGCTTTTAGCTGGATGGAGTTTTATGATTGTCCACTGGAAGTTTATAATCTGATTTTTTGCACTGTGTTCCATACAAAGTAGTACACAGTATTTATTCAGTTAATGGCTTTAACAGAGTTACTTCTGTCAAAAATACTTTGAATTTTGGGGGTACCTTCTCACTTTGTAACTGTATTGTTTTCTCTCCTAGACCAATGTTCTGAAAAAGTCTTCATGGGAATGGCTTGCCTTATGGTGACAGAGATGGAAGCAACATCCACATCTCCTAAACATCAGAATGGTGATATTTCTGGAAATGCTAATTCTGTGAAGCAAATAGATTCAGTCCTTCAGGTGTATCTTTACCATTCCGTTGGGAAAGCTGAGGGAGATTATCTGAAGTTTCCAACTGGAGAGTATGTTGCAGAAGAAATTTGTGTTGCTGCTTCTAAAGCCTGTGGTAAATATTAAAAATCAGTATTTTCTTTTTTATTAGTGGATCATTTGATTATGCTACTCTAATATAATGTACGTATATAATGTATTATTATGACTGGCAGGTGTGTTTTCACATGTATAAAAAAATGCCAACAGCCCTAGAGTTAAAATTAAGGTGACTCTGCCTTCAGCTGGATATCAAGACAAAATAATCATAAAACAGCGATATATATGCACCTATGTTCATAGCGGCATAAATTGTAATAGCTAAAATGTGGATACAGCCCAGTTGCCAATCATCTGGAGATTGGATAAAGAAGATGTGATTTTTAATAAAATGGAGTACTACTCAGCCATAAATAATTAGAAATTAGAGGCATTTATAATGGATGCACATTGAGGTAATACTCTTAAGTGAAATAAATGGGACACGCATGTGTAAATTCCGAATAGCTTCTCTAGTGTGAGAAACTGAAAGTGTAAATAAGGATCAAAATGTATAATGGATAACGTGAAATAGGAAGAACAAGTTCAAAGGGGAAGGGGAAGAAGGAAGGGTAGGGGAAAGGAATGTTAACATGAGAAATTAGAAACATGGAATTAACGTGAGAAAATGAAAAAATGGAAGCAGTACTTTATGAGTAGGGAAGGATGGAGGGGTTAAAGGGAGGGCAGGATATGGGAAAAATAACACAAACTATGTAAAGGTACAGATCTCTAATAATGAATGTCTTTGTATTGTATACCTAAAATATACCAATAAAATAAAAAAAAAAGACCAAACTTAAATGTTTGGTGACAACTTTTTATAAGACCATATAAGGTGACTAAAGAATTCTATTCTGTCATGGGATGTCTTCTCAGTTAATCATAAAGCTACACCCTGACTACAGCAAGAAAACAAAGTGTTGGAATATTTACTTGATTTAAAATCTTGATTAAATAATTCATAGTTGTGCTTGACAAATTGTTTTTTTCTAGTTAGCTTCTGAGGATTTCTATCAATCTATCTTCGTATATACACTTTCCTTATTTCTTTGATTTATTTTTAATTATTTTTACTCTTGAGACCTGATTGTCTCTTCATAATCTCTCTAAAACTATGGACTGTAGAACTCTTTCTAAAACTGGACCACTGAGCCACTGAGATTTCTAAAGAACCTATTATCATGTTATCTAATTTTTAATATTCTTTTAATTCAAAGACCAATTGATGTTTGTTGCTTTAAATAATAAGATTTTAATTCTGAAGATAAATGTCTAATATTTATAAGAAACTGCTATAGCATTAACTTTCTCTGTTTTATTTAGCAGTGTAAATGAGGCTGATCAGTAAATGCCACTAATGTCAATTGGAAGAAATGATTTTCATATATCCAGTTTTGAAATAAGATGTGAAAATATAGTAAAGTTTACTAACTGGAAGATAAGCAATTTAAATTTGTAAATTATATCTATTCATTGAAGAAAATACACTTTTATTATCTTTGGGGCTATTCTTAAATTAAAGCCCCTGATTCCAGAGTGGGAGTTTTTTATATCAAAATGACTTATTTATAAATAATAGTATTTATCTGTCACCAGTCTATAGGGGCTATTTCTTTAAGATTACTTGATAAATAATTTAAGTTAATATCTTATGCAATCTTTATTATACTGTTAATTTGCTTTTATTATTTACATCTTTAAATCATATATTTTCCATGAATGTCTTTGTAAGGTACTTACAAAATACATTATACAAGAAGTTATTTTAAAATAATTTTTGAGTCTAATGAACCCAGATACAGCTTTCCTAGAATATCTTCCATTTTAAATTGTTTAGAGTTTGTATAGAAAGTCTGTCATTGTGAAAGTACTTTAGACACCTATAATTTCCTTGTGTTGTAAAGTTCGAATTGCATTTGAAAATGTCAGATTAGTTGTCAGGAAGCAACAAAAAACTCGAGTGTGATAGGAATTTCAAAGTAACTGTGCTTCTAGTTCTTCTTTGTTAACTGCAAATTTTATGTTTCACCTTAATGACAATTTTAACCCAGTATTAAAACACTGATTAAATACTCAGTTGTCTTGTTCAGTAGATTTGATAATTTGTTACATAACAGATAAAGAGAGTGAGAAGGCTTAGAGTGCAGGAAATTGGACCTGACATCCTATCCCATTGTATTTATGGCATTTTAAATTTGAGAAGCCAAGGAAGATGCATAGGGTCTAGAGCAGAGCTTGCCATTCTAGTTGTTCATTCAGTAATGTTACATTTGTAGTTCCATTTAATAATTGAGTCTGGGAAAGAAAAATGATCAGAGACATAAAACTAGTTTTCAGACACCTTTTTAGTAATTAAGTCCCTTTTTGTCTTTAGCTTTAGTGAATCCTTCTTTCCCTTTTTTCTCTTGTCTCCTTTGACATAAACTAAAAATAAATTTAATAGCCTGCTTTGTACTTTTCTCATAGTTTGTTTTGAGAAAAGCAAGTTACTTTGCTGTGTCATATTTGAGATCCCTTCAACTACCAACAACTACTGATAATATAGCTATTTAGAATAAAAACTAATAACAGAAAAATGCTTTTAATGTTATTTTTTAAATTAAAAAATTATAAGTACTCTCTAGAAATAATACTTTTAGTCAAAATTTATTGTTTTGCTTTGTTTTAAAGACTCGAAGGAAATATAGTGTAGTTAAATATCAATAGTCCTAATGCCATTATCACAGTGGATCACTGTACCTTCATACTGTTTTTTTTTTTTTTCTGTTTTGTGGTGTTGGGGATTAAGCCCAAGGCCTTACACATACTAGGCGAACACTCTACTGTTGAGCTACAGCTCCATCCTAAGAGTAAGGTTTTTTTTTTTAGTTTTTTGTTTGTTTGTTTGTTTTTTGGTTCTGGGGATTGAACTTGGGTCTTTGCGTTTGCAAGGCTGGTTGTAGATCCCCTGAGCTAAATCCCTGGCCCTACTTCTGTTCTTTTTTGAGACAGGGTCTCACTATGTAGCTCAGACTGCCCTGGAACTCACCATGTAGCCCAGGCTGGTCTCATACCTGCAGGGATTCTCCTGCCTCAGCCTCTTGAGTGCTGGGATTATAGGTATGTGCCACCATGCCTGGCTAGGAGTGAGTTTTGAAATCAGAAAGTGAAAGTCTTCCAACTTCCTTACTCTTTTACAGGGTTATTTGAGCAATTGTAGTCTCTCTTTTTTTTTTTTTTGAATTTTATAATTAACATCAATGCCTGCAAAAGAAACAGCTGAACTTTCAGTAATGGTTGCATGGTATACATAGATCAATCTGGAAAGTGTTGTCTGAAGTATAGTAAATCTTCCAATCTAGTAAACAAACTGGGGATTTCTTTTAATTTTATCCAACAAGTGTTAATAGTTTTCAGTTTTTACCTGTTAAATTTACTCAAGTATTTTATTCATCCCAGTGTTAGTGTAAATGGAGTTATTTCCTTATTTTTCTTTTTGGGTTGTTCATTGTTCATGTGTAGAAATACAACTGATTTTTTTGGCAGGGGGCAGGTCAATATTGAATCTTGCAACTTTGCTGGATCATTCATAAGATCTAATCAGTTTGGGGGATTATTTATTATTATTTTGGCTTTTTTGAGAATGGGTGTCCTTTGTAGTTCAGGCTGGCCTTCAGATTACTGTGTAGCCCAGTCTGTCCTCAAACTCACGGTGATCCTCCAGCCTCAGCCTGGTAAGTGCTGGGATTACAGTCTCATGCCTCCGTGCCCTGCTATTTATTATTTTTATGTGTAAGCATGTCATGTACAAATAGTGACACAGGGTCGCTGTTTTTGACACAGGATCTTGCTATTGAATTTCAGGCTGGCCTTGTACTCATTATGTAGGACAGGCTGTCCTCGCACTTGCAGTGATCCTCCTACCTCAGCTTCCTAAATGCTGGGATTACAGGCATGTGCCACAATGCCTGGCAAATACTGACAGTTTTTATTCTTCTTTCTTAATTTGAATGCCTTTCATTTATTTATTTTTTCTTGCCTAATTTCTCTGGCTAGAATTTCCATTATAGCGTTGAGTAGATGTTGTGAATATGGGCGTCCTTGTCTTGTTTGTGATCTTAAGTCTTTTAGTCCACCAGTGATTAGGATATTACTTATAATTTTTTTTTCATAAATACTTTTGATCAGGCCAAGGAAGATTCCTACTATTCCTAGTTTGTGTTGATTTAATCATAAAAGGGTAATGGATAACTTCAGGATGAATATATATATTAAGATGATACATATTTCTCCTTTTATTGACTCATGGTTGTGTTCCTAGCATAAATCTCACTTGATCATGTCCATATAATCCTTTCCATATGTTGTTGGATGTAGTTTGTTACTATTTTGTTGAGGAAATTTTCATCTATATTCATCAAGGATATTGGTTTGTAACTTTCTTTTTCTCTTAATGGTTTTGTCTGGCTTTGATAATGAGGTAATATTGATCTTATGGAATGATTAAGGAAGTGTTCCCTCTTGAATTTTTTGGAAGATTTTAGATTTTTGAGGCAGAATATTGTAGTTTCTTCATTAAATGATATAGAAATCACCACGGAAGCCATCTGGTCATGGTCTTTTCCTTCTTGGGCTTTTTTTTTTCCCCTTGAACAAAGTTAATCTCTTTATTTCTTATAGGTCTGTTTAGATTTTCTGTTTTTTCTTGCATCAGTTTTTAAATAGTTTTTCTAAGAATGTTTTCATTTTATCTAGGTTGCCTAGTGGGAATAATTTCTTGTGGTATTTTCTTATATGTTTTATTTTTGCAATATCACTAGTTTTCTTTCTTTATTATTTTTATTGTTTATTGGTACAATTTAGATATACATAATGATTGCATTCATTGTGGAATTTGTACCTGTACATGATATATCTTAATTCTTATTCTTGCTTTTATTTTTGATATTGGTAATTTGAATCTTCTTTTCTTCTTATTCGGTCTAGCTAAAAATTTGTCTGTTTTCTTGATCTTTCCTTATAACCAACTTTTGATTTCATTGATTTTTTTTTTTC